GGTTAAAAGAGGTAACCTTAAGTTAATTAGTGGGTTATTATTGCCATCTTTTATTCTTAATTATATACTAATTAGGGTAAAAGAAAGAGGGTTTGAATAAAGAAAATAGAAAGAACAAAGAGAAGGAAAGAGAAACGATAGAGAGAGGATCGAACGAGAGGAAAAACACAAAGCTTGGGAAATCGCTTGCTTGATCACGAATCTTCGGTGGAGGTAGGTTATGGTTTCTCTTACGATATTCGTAGTAAACTCTTAATAGCGAATGATATGTATTTATAATATTGTAAACCCTTCTATGTGCTTAATTGTATGCATGCATGAATGTAATTATATAATTGTGATTATATAAGCATGATGAAGTTATTGAATCCCAAATCTTGCAAAAACCTAATCTCTTTGTTAATGATGAGGCCTTGGCATAAAAGAAGGCATGATGAACTAAAATAATGAGATTGATGATGCCTAGGTAAGAAAGAAGGCTTGATGAATTGATAGAAGGAGATTAGGGGATCGGGTGTCACGAACCGACACGTAGTATTAGGGGGACCGGGTGTCATGAACTGACACATAGATTTAGGGGATCGGGTGTCACGAACCGACACGTAGATTTAGGGGATCGGGTGTCACGAACCGACACGTATATTTAGGGGATCAAGTGTCACGAACTGACATGTAGATTTAGGGGGACCGGGTGTCACGAACCGACACGTAGATTTAGGGGATCGGAGTGTCACGTTCCGACACATAGTAGTAGGGGATCGGAGTGTCACGTACCGACACAAGAGAATTAATGAATATGAGGGAGTGGAGTGTCACGTACCGACACAAGAGAAATAAAGATAATGAATCTTGAAAGATGTTAATATACTCAATCTAATGAATCTAATTCCAAATGAGTATGGTATTGAGGCTTGAGTCCTCATGTGTGAACTTTGCGGTAATTGTTAATGATATAGTATTTTCTGTTGCTACATGTTGAGTATCATAGTTGATTTTATGATATTACTTGGTCTATATTGATTTCTATTTTGAGTTGGCCGATGATATCTACTCAGTACCGTGTTTTGTACTGACCCCTACTTTTATGTTTTTTTTCTTGTTTATTTGTAGAGTGCAGCAAACGTGCCGTCATCTTCGACTCAACAGTAACTCTAGCCAGTCTTCATTACACCGGATTTCAAGGTGAGCTAACGCTTCTAGATTGGACTGGATCTTCTTTTTCGTGTCTTGATGCCTTGAAGTTCCGGCATGGACTAGCTTTTTATTTATTCTAGCTTTCTAGATACTCTTAGAATTAGTAATTTGAGGATAGATGTTCTTGTGATGATGACTTCCTGATTTTGGGGATAATAATAGTTATTGATTTTATTAATGAGTTAAGTCTTCCGCATTACTTTCTGTTGATATTATATTGAAATGTTAAGGTTTAGATTGGTTGGTTCGCTCACATAGGAGGGTAAGTGTGGGTGCCAGTCGCGATTTGATTTGGGTCGTGCCATTAGACTATCCCAAAAGATCCCTCTATACTCCTCATCCACCTATTTGGTTAAAAATATCCCTCCCTCTATCTTTTTGGCCCACTCTTACCCTTCAAACTATCCAATTTTCCTTTAGGTCACTACAACATTTTAGGCCTACGGCCACACTAAATCTTGACAACGCTTGTAAAGTGTTGCCTAAAATACTTTTGGCTACACTTTAAATAATATTGGCATTACTTCTAAAGCGTAGTCTTTAATACTATAGGCTACACTTTATAAGCGTTGTTATAGTATGAAATAAATGACAGCAATCTATACATCTATATAAATGAGGATCATAGAGGAGGTCATTTTGCACCTCTCTATGACCTCCATTCATTTTTTCTTATTTTTTTTGCTCGACTTTTTTTCTTAGTTTTTTAAATTATTTTTTTCTTATAAACCTATACTTCTTCAATTATATAAATTCTATTCTTAAATTAGTATAAATAATATTCATAACTCTCATACCTTTGATATTCATAATCTCTTAAGCCTTTCATATTCATAACTTTTAATTATTTAATGCGAAAGGTTACATTAACACTATAAAATCACACTAAAATTGTGTGTTATTTTGTAGTCATCTTTGGTTAGAGGATTAGTGGAAGACATGTTACAATATTTGTAAGCTTTGAGGTGCATTATTTTTTCAAATATTATTTCATATATTTTTTTTTATTAGAAAGTAAGGGTAATGTGTCAGTATATTTTTATTTCTTCTAGATATATTATTTTATTTTGTTATCTTTGAGATTCATTTTATGACTAATAATGTATTTGTTATTATTTTTCTTGACTCTTGTATATAGGATGAAATGATAACATCAATTGATGAAGATTAATGGATTTTGAGCTATATATATTGATTATTTGTCAAAAATGATTATGTAGGAGAATTTACGATTAAATGTAATTTTTCCTTATTCTTTATGAGATATAATATTTTATTTTGTTAACTTTGAGATTCATTCTAGGACTAATAATTTATTTGTTATTATTTTTCTTGACTCATGTATATAGGATAAAATGAAAATATCCAGAGATGGAGATTATTGGATTTTGAGCTATATAGTGATTATTCTTTATTTTTAGGTCCTTAAGAAGTAAAGTTTCTATTATATTATTTCCTTTTGAATTATTTAAGTTTTGTCAAAAATGATTATATATGTTTAAATATAATTTTCTCCTTATTCTTTTTTTCTTCTTTTGGTTGATAATTTTTTAACATATTCAATCACATTTGCCGATTATAGGAGATATATCTATAATGAAAATGGTTAGACATTCTTGTATAATTTGAGTTTACAAGGAAAAATAATTTGATTTGTCTAATATAATTACAACTCTTTGTTTGTTGAATCATACATTAATGTTATTTATTTGTGTTTATGAAGATAGAAATCCTGAGTTTTTTAAAGAAAAATATCTAATTTATTCTCTTTAGACCTCTATATGATTCTTAGATAATTTAATTATATTACAATGATAAAAATCTTCAAAAATAATTATTTGTTCAAGTAAATTCATCTCACTTTTTTATTGATAATATTAGTTTATTGTGTTTGTGACGTATGATATTTTAAGATATAGAAGAAGAAAACGAGTAAATGAATATCGATATGCTACTTACAGAAATGCGTACATATACTTTCATAGTCTCGTGAAACAAATTTCATTAACAAAAACATGATAGAACATATAATAATGTAAAGTAAATTTATAATTTTGAAAATACACATGGTTTTATTAAAAATAAATTATTTATTAATATATAAAATTGCAATTCCTAAATTTTTCATTTTCTTGGAAGATTTCAAGTTGTTTATTGATAAGTCTTATGTTTTCATATTTGTAATTTTTCGAGAGTTCTCAAGTTATTTCAAAATTGCAATTAATTTATAATTTTAAAAATGTTGTTGGTTTCCCACCTTTCTATTTACTTATAATAAAATATTTGTCTCAATAACTCTAATTTGTTTGTCTTTCATTTTTCATAATTGATGTTCTTTATTAGTGTAATAATGTGTAAATATTACTCTTATTATGTTAGAAAAGTTCAAAGTCATATTATTAATCCTCTTAATTACTGTGACTTTTTATTCTTAGGAAATTTATTATATCAAATGTAATATTTATATAAAATGTGAAATATACTTTTTGATATTTTGTGTTTAAGCCAAACAAAATTAAAAGAAATAGGAATTTTGTATATGTCATTTTCTTGAATCTTTTTTGCGTAGTTAATTCTCTCTTTTGTTCTCTTTTATGTTATTTTTAGATTTTACATTTTTTTCCAATATAAGTTGTCCCAAAAATAATTGAATATCTAAACCTAAGTATAATAACAATAATAAAAATAATAATAATAATAACAACAACAACAAGAAGAAGAAGAAGATATGAAATTTAACTAATTAAGATTGTTAAAAATTTTCTTTATTTAAAATTTAATTATTAAAAAATTATTAATACAAACATTAAATTAATCTAATATTGTACAATAAAAATAATTAAAAAATGTGATGATTGGGTGTGATGAGGAAAAGTAATAATAATTGTGGATAATGATTTTTAATAGTGTTGGCTAACTATATAGTCATGAATACTAACGATTAATAGCAATCCGAGTTACACATTACCGAAAAACTATACTAAGAATATAATTTAAAAAGATTACAAATAAGCATAATGGAACGATCAGATTTCAAGTTTACATAAATAAATATAAATTATACTAAGAAAATCTCAAATAAAAAAGAAAAAAAAATGATCACAAGTTTACACTTAAGTAGTTCTAATATTACCCAATTCATATTACCTTTCCTTTTTATCTATGAAGTTTATTTTAATATTTAACTTTCTGAAGTTCACATATATTGATTTCTTAATAAATTTCATATTTAATCTAAATATTTTTCATAGCTTATGTGATTAACAGAAATTTCTTTTTATTAAAGTAACTATTAATATTGATATGTAATTTTTTTTGATTTTTTTTATAACCGCGCGAAGCGCGCCTTAGTACACTAGTTATTTATTATATGGCAACCCTTTTAAAGTGTCCTATTTTTTATAATGTAAAAACTACACATTACAAGTGTGGCTTTAAAAATTTCACTAAAATTTTATATTCCCGCCAATATTTCCAACTCTCCCTCCCATTTTGATTGGCCAAAAATTAATAAAACATTATCTTTTCTCTTTCTCCAACTTTACTCTTTCTCCAAAAAAGCTTTGTACTTTACTCTTTCTCCAGATTTCTCCAAACATTATCGGTGTTACTCTTTCTCCAAACATTATCGACGAACTTTAGATGAAGAACTAAAGGTGAAGAATTGATATCAACGAACTAGGATGGAGATTAAGCTGAGAATTGATATCGAAGAACTCAACTTTAGATGAAGAACTGAGCTAAGGGGAATAACTGAAGAAAGGCAAACTGAGTTGAAGATGAAGAGTTGAAGCTGAAGAAATGACGGGTGGAAGCTGAAGAAATGACGGGTGGAAGCTGAAGATTCCTCCAATATCGTTATTTTCAAGCGCAACTACTGATTTCAACAAGGGTAAGATTCAATAGTCGATATTATTTTTTTTCCTTCTTAAGATTGAACTAAAAACAGTTTTCCTGTCAATTGATTTGATTTTTGTTTTGTGTTTAGAAGGAATAGATTAATTTGGGGTTTTTATAGATTAAATTCCAAAGTAGGAGAAGAAAGTTGCGAAAATATGAATAACAAAGTGAGCCTTACGCACATTCAGCAAAGGTGAAAGAGGGATTACCACTCGGAAGACTTTGAGTCAGTTAGTATCGTAAGCTCCCTGCTCTTTACAGGATTTTCCTGGTTCTATTTTACTTGTGTTTTTTCTTTTTGGTTTAGTTGATTGAAGTGAGATTGTTATGTTAAATCTAATTACTTTGGAGTAGCAACTATTGTTTAAATATCATATTTATATGTATGATTAAATAAAACACAGAGGTAAACATGTGGTTTTTGGTGTGTATGAAGAAATGAATGTTGATGCAAATAAGAGAACTGCCTTCAATTATCTGATCTTCTTTTCCTGTTGATTTCTTAAAAACATACTTATTATGTGGCTGAATTTCCAAGGTGACGGCTAGTTTGAACCACCCGAATGGACTTTAAAATGTCTATATCCCCAAATGCAGAAGGGATCTGCATAAGCCCGTGATAATGTTCTAGTATTAATTACACAAGGTTGGGAAAAGTTTCCTTATCAACTTGTCATTCTGTAACAAAGACATCTGATAAATGTGAAGTCTTAAAACTTTGACAAATGTCCTCACTTGTTTCCCACTCGGCCTCGAGGAAAGTAGAGTGTATAATCTCCATATTTTCAAGCTCACGCAATTCGCGATTGCTGACAACAAAGCAGGTCTCAGGGTAAACCTATGCAAATGTAACTCTTTCAAACTGGTAGGAAAGTGATATTTATTGGGATTTTGAATTTTTTCAAACTCGGAACAATCCAGACAGTTGTTAGTACTACTCCAGACATACCCTTAACTTAGATGAGTGATTCAAGTTTATTAAGGACATCAAACTTAGAAATTTTATTGTGGACTTTTTTCATATAAATAAGAACAATTGATTTTAACTATTTCTTTGTTACTTGACCTCGAAATTTGTTTGTCACTTCACTATCTTGTTTGCTTGACTTTCAGTGTCTGTTAGATGGAGTCTACGTAACGGCTGAAATAGATAAAAAAGTATTGTCCTTCTCTGACGGGCTTTTATTTGTGCACATGATGTCCATTATGTTTTTCTAAGATTCTAACACATATATATGCGCGCGCACACACACACACACGTGTGTGTGTATACATATATACATACACACATATATATATACACACACACACACACACACACACATATATATATATATACATATATATATATATACATATATACATATCTATACATATATATATGTATATATATATTACGATGTAAATTCTAATTAATCAGAGCTTCCTTTTACTAATTTTGTTCTCCTGCAACTTTTTATTCTGTGACGTCTTAGGTGTCATATTTTGTAAGAAGTCAGTATAGAATTGACTTTCTAGCGAAACTATATAGCTTTTTTTGTACGAAGTCAGTATTAGAACAATATTCTTGAAACAAGTTTAACCAAGGAAAAAGAATCTCCATCATAGTATTAGCTTAGGATTCTTGAAACACAGGTTAAACCAAGAAATTTACAGTGGCATTTCAAAAAGGATCATACCAGCCATGTTCCGAAGTGCATTCTCAGCTGCCTGTTGCTGAGCATGCTTCCTAGTCTTACCCATTCCTACTCCAACTCTCTCACCGATAAAGAAGACCTAAAGATTATTCAGGCTCAGATTTCTGAACATAAAACCTTATGCCATTTGTCGAAATATAGATGCCAAAATAATTATACACTTTTTTATGATCAACAATGATCGCAGCAGCACTCTCATATCAAAATGATTTTTTTCAAAGATAGACATTAAAAGACAGTTCATAAGCACCACAATTTTCAGACTCAAATATCAAGACATACAGATCCGTGAATATTATTTTATTTGGTTGTTTTTTATTCATATGCTAATTTTTTTTCCTTTTATTATTAGGCAGTGGACATTAGAGGCAGAACAATGAGCTCTGTAGTTTGAAGACGCTCCTGGTTTCGTCCCTATCCCGAGTTCGTTGCTCCGAGAGAGGTACATCTATTTACCTTTAATTTGTCCTTTTGTGTTTCAGAATAAGAGTGTTATGCGTTATTGTGACTGAAATATTGAGCTTCTAGTTTGTATCAGTTTGTTAGTTGATACCATTTGATCTGTTGTCTTAAAGGTAACTTAGTCTTCTTCTAGTTTTTTCAAGATGGTTTTGTAATGACCCAAAAGCTCCTCTTAAGAATTTTGAATATTTGTTTAACTTAAGTTAATTAATCAATAGTTTATGGACTAAAGTGATAATTTATTTAAGACCCTATACCCTTTAGACTATATTTAATAAAATATGTGGATAAAACCTATCACTTTTAGTACTAATTAATTTTGAAAAGTAAAACAGAACGGATGAAGGATTTATAGATAGAACGGAGGAAGGGTTTATAGCCGACTACATATTGCTGAAGGTAAGGAATTTTAATCTCTCCATGCATGCAATTGAATTAATTCCTCTTCATAATTATTTTGCTTTCATTAAATGCTAACTATATATGTATATAATAAAATTATAATAGCATAAAAAAATTGAAAAGGGGTTGTGGGAATTAAGAAAAAAATGGCAGATCTTATATCAATATGGTCCTGGCCAATCAAATTGTTGAAAGTAGTAAGGCCACCATTGTTTTGTTTTTATTATTAAATTAATGTGGTACATATGATAAAAGTGAAGGTGGTAGAGGTGATGATATTATCATCATTCTGGAGACTTGTAAACTTAGGGACAAAGGATAGTGTTAACGTTACTAGTATTAGTATAAAATTATTGGATATCAATTGGTCGATAAGGGAATTGGTTGGTTAGGAATTTATATATGTGTATAATTTTCATACGTGCTACCAACATTTCAAATAATAATTAAGTTGAATGCTCACTACATGGTTTAGATTGTTACTATATACATTAAGGCCTTTGGGTTTATTGATTTTAACCATTGATTTCATGACCAGTAATTTCAAAAAATTTGCAATTTGTTATGTTATCATCACCATGTAATTCTAGATTTGATACATAAAAATAGGTAACTAAATATTAGGTGTATAATATGCTGGGGAATGTCATTACGATATTTGAAGGAATTGGAAGAATTCACAAGTTAATGGGCATCGAAAATTATGAACTTGCTTATAAATTTGGGTGAATTTTTAAGGTGAATGTCAAACACGTGATAAGGTGGGTGTTGTTAGTTTCGAAATCTTATTGTGAATATATACTTGAATAGGTTGCATCGATTCGGAAGCTCAACGGAAAGGAAAGACTCAAGTCATAGAGTGATTATTTGATTGGCTAAGGCAAGTGAATTTCTAAATCCTTGTTAAGTGTATGAAATTCGTGTATTTCCTTGTATAGTGTTGAGAATGACTTGGAGACTTGTTGCTTATTTGTTGGTGTTGTATTCCTCGTAGTAACTTGCGCTTTGTTATCAAAATGGTTATCTCCTCATTTTCATTTGAGCATGTCAATTGCATTGTATCTGAGACATGATTGTTATAAGGATGTATCATTTCGAGGGTCGTATCACACGCTGCGATGGATATCATATTTTGAGGGACGTATCGCGCGCTGCGAAGGTTACTATTATCGAGGGTCGTGTTGTGTCGTGCGCCGCGACAGATGCATGGATAGATATGTCCCCCATGGGTCCTGGACTGAGAGACAGCGGGTGTGTATCGTTAGGGAAGACATGCATCACTATACTTGACATTACATCTCATGGCATTGCACATTTATTATTGATGAACTTGAACACGTGTTTTGCTGATCTTGTGAGTGTTTCTCTTTGAAGCTTGTGACTGTTGAATATTGAGTTGTTATTGAGAATGTGTAAACTGATAGAGTGTGGTTATTGAGTTTTGCGTTTGGTAAACTGTAAACTGTTAGACTGTAGCGTGGAGGTTTAGATAGGGTGTAAGGAGTGCCCGTATTTTGTTCAGCTAACTTGTGTTTAGAGGTTTGCTTATTGGGTACCGCGTGGTTTGGTACTCACCCCTTGCTTCTACATTTTTGTATAGGTTACGAGCTCGAATCTTCGTGATTCCTGTCATTCTTTTCGTTTCTGAGGCATCTTGTGGAGGGTTGTGAGGTAGCTTCTTGTCATCTCAGCGAACTTCCTACTCCAGTTTATGACTTTGTTTTTACTTGAAAGACAACTTCATTTTAGACTTCTATTTTTTTCAATTCTAATGTTTATATTAGAGGCTTTTGCACGTGACAACCTGGTTTTGGGATTGAATTAATATTACTTGGTTTCATAATAGAAATTGTTGTTGGATTGTCATTTACTTCCGCACTTTGTTAGATTTTGGGTTTTAGGATGACTTGTCTTGGTGGGTTAGACGAGTGCCATCACACCCATTTTAGGGTTGTGACAGGTTTGTAGTTCTTTCAGTCACATTTTTAAGTGTGCCTGCTATGTGTTACGGGGTCTTGAAATAAATTTGTAAAATCTGGTTGTTTACCTTTCTCTCAAAGTGTGGCTCATTTATCTTTTCAACATCTTTTAACTTATTCATTGTATATCTCTATCTGATTATTCTCAAATGCTATTTGATACTATGAGGCTTCAAGTGTTAATGTTCAATTTAATCAAACATAGTTTGTCTTTGTTTGCATTTATTTTAGTACAGTTCGTATGGACTATATATTGTGAGCAAGTGAGATAGTATACTCAAAAAATATTTTGTCGCATTAAAGCAACTAAACTTTACACACTATATAAGTTACTTTTAAAAAGTTAGTTGTTAAGTTACCCTCCAGACAATAACTGATCACCAAGAATTAGGAAATCCATGACAACCACTTATAGTACTATTTGCACAGGCTGCCACAGCTTATCTGATTGGTTGTACAGGTTATACTGGTTGTGTTGTTGATTGAAGATAATTTTATCAATTCTATATTAATGGATCGTGATTTGAACCTTAAGCCTATGGAGTCATCAACTTTAGGTTTAGGTTCTTTGTCCAATGGTTTTGAAACTTCTTAGTCGTAAGATTTTGTCACTGCCACAAATTTCATTCTATTTGTGTACACATTTTTGTAGATTTTAATGATTTTATGGAAAACATGTTAGAGAATGCTGGTTATGCTGTTCTAGTATGCATTTTAGAACTCCTCTACCATAAATAAAAGGTATGAAGCTTCAATATTATTGCCACTCTAATGTTTTGCTTTTAATTTCTTCACTTAGAGCAACTACATATCTGGATGCTAGTTATCTATTGTCAAACATGTAAACATCGATTACATAATTTTATGGGCTAGTTATCTCCATATAATCTATGTTACTTAGAAATATGTACTTCAAGTATATTTACATACAGTTAACTATGAATAGATTGTGAGAGGAGCTAGTTGTACAACTTAAAACTGCTTCTTCATAGAACTTTTTAATCTTGATTAGTTCATCTAATCGAGTCTACCATATTAATTTAATTTCTTTTTTTAATTCTTTATATCCTATTAATTTTACTTATTTTTCTTTGGTAGTGTAATCAACATTCAAAAACATTTGTGGAGGATTCAAGATATGATTTCGACTAGCATAAGTGTCATAACTAGGTAAGAATTTTTATCATGTCATAACGTCTGATTCTGAGAACATACTCATAAATTTTAGAAGTTATTTGCGAAGTAGTAAATAATATAATAATTGTTACTTACCGAAAGATTAAACATCGATCTTCTTCTAGGAATTCAAATTTCCCATCCAAGGATTGGATGAAGTTAGCAAGATATAGAAAAGAGTATATTTGAATCATTCTTAGATTTTGCTTACTCTTATGAAGATTGATACGCTCAAATTTACTTCTCAGATAAGAAGTAAAGCGTTCGTTCAAGTAAATAACCCAACTACTGAGGTTGGGATCCTTCCCACGAGGAAAATAGTTTACAATTAACTTCAATCAACTATTACTATTGTTCAGTCAATTACTTCCTTTGAAAGCAAAAATAATAAAATGGGGGTTTCTATTTCAAAATAAATGAAAATAACTAGCGAAATTGAAAGAGACACTTAACAACTTCAAATGTTGGAGTTTAATCAATTAGTCAAAGTAACTAGGGTTTCCATGTTCCCCACAAGTTCATAACTTGATAAGTCTAACTATAACAATTCTTTCCTAGTATGTTGCATGCAAAGTGATAAGTTATGTATTTCTAAATCCTTGGTCCGACATCTAGAAAATTTCACTCCGCACCTTGGTCCGGCTACGTGTGTTGCTATCCTAACCCTTAGTTTTACCTCATATTAAGCGTCGTATTCGATATTTGACTAAGTTATTACCTCGTACCAATCAATACTAGCCTATTAGATTGTATATACTAAATCTATGTTAATAATTCTTTTCCTATTATCTACTTCCTTGGTCCGGCAAGTAGCATTAAGGCGAGTTCTAACGTTGGCCATCCGTTAAAAAGACTTCTAAGTGAAAGAATTATTAATACATGCAAGACACTATTCTAGAGTTGTTATTTTAGTTAGGTTTTACCTCATTATTTGCCTATGGTTCCCACAACCCTAGTTATGGAGTTTAGTTACCCATAGTCATAATCACAATATTCAAATATGTGATATGAGAATGAATGCACTTACTTCGATGAGAAAGAGTAAAATCCAAAAGTTCACTTGATTAATTAGCAAAAATCACCAATAATCAATGATAAAAGTCTCAAGATCATCAATAATCTCTCAAAGAGTCTACAAAATAATCAAGAGTCTCCCAATATTCAAAGGTCTAACAATGATCCAGAGTCTAACCTCATAATACAGAGTCTAACCTAATAATCTAGAGTCTAACCTCAAAAACGAGGTTTTTCGAACTATTTATAGAAAATAAAAACCTAATTAAACAAGGATTCTATTTGCTGGAAATCTGTCAAAACGCGGTTGGGTCGACGGACCTCGCGACGGATCATCGTGGTCACAACGGACCGTCTTTATATCCATCAGTGACTGCTGCAGAGTAATTTTCTAGAGAATTTCCTGGTGATGTGATTGCAAATTAAAAACCCATTAGTAGAAAATGCTACCATTACTAGAAAGAAAAACTATAAGTATTGGGTTGCCTCCCAACAAGCGCCTGATTTAACGTCGCGGCACGACAGAGGACACTTGATTACTCAGCCTTCATCAAGATGGTATGCCTCTATCACTTCATTCACCGATGCAGTATGCCCAAAATAGAGTTTTATTAGTTCTCTATTCACCTTAAACCGCACTCACTTCTTGGTTTTTAACTCAACTGCTCCATGAAGGAATACTTGGGTGATCAAGTAAGGGCCAGTCCGTTTGGGCTTGAGCTTGCCCGGAAGACAAGGAAACCCAAATCTATATAAAAGTGCAAAATCCCCAACCATAAACTCTTATTCTGCACTTTTTTGTTCATTCTCCTTCTTCATCTTTTCTTTGTGGGACATGGCGGATACCGATTGGAGCTCACCACTCTGCCTCATGTTCCTAGAACATTAAAGGTCGCTTCTTCATTGTTCAACCAAAATTTCATTTGCCCCTTTTCCATATCAACTACGACTCTACCTGTAGCAAGGAATGGCCTCCCAAGAATAATAGGCACTTCAAAATCGACTTCACAAAAGAATAACAAAATCTGCCGGAAATATGAATGAATCCACTTTTACTAGCACATCATGGCGTATCCCTATAGGCCTTTTCACTATTCGATCAGCCATCAGTAGCCACATCGCAGTGGGTTTTGGGTCACCAAAACCCAACTTCTTGTAAATCGAGAGGGGCATGAGACTTATGCTTGCCCCCAGATCACATAATGCTTTCTCAAAATGTAATGACCCAACTGTACAAGGAATAGTGAATGCACTCGGATCTTCTTTCTTTTGTACGAGGGATCTTGTAGCAATATCACTACAATGTTGCAGTCTATCATCATCCTCGAAAGTGACCGATCTTTTCTTTGTAACTAGATCTTTCATAAACTTGGCATAACCGGGCATTTGTTATAGAGCTTCTACCAAAGGGACATTGATAGAAAGCTGCTTCATCATTATTATAAAACGCCGATATTTACCATCCTCAGTATGTTTCACTAATCTCTGAGGGAAGGGTTGTGGTGGTCTAGGCATAGGAATCACCTTCATAGGGACTTTTGCATCTTTTCCACTGCTCTCTTCTGCTTCACCACTACCCTTTACCACCTTATCATCATTTCTCCCCTTTTCCTCATTAGACGGCATAGGTAGGTCAATGGTTTGCATACCAACCCGAGTAGTGATTGCCATACAGTGTGCATCATTTTTCGGATTTTGGACAGTGTTGCTAGGAAGAGTGTCCAGTTTCCGTGTGTTCATAGTCGCAGATAATTTGGCCATTTGCAACTCGATTTGCTTAATCGATATTGCATATGTATTGACTTGTTGCCCAATACCTGCTAAATCACACCTTTATTCTTTAATGTACTCATCACTATCACTGAACCTCCTCATCATTTTGTGCAACATCCTCAACTCGCGCCATTCTATCTCCACCATCCCTAGGTGTAACATCACGATTTTGAGGAGGGACATAGGGAACATTCCTATCATTTCTGTTACCATAGTTACCCCTGTTGAAGTTGTTGCGGTTGTAGTTTCCATCTCGGACATAATGACCCTCACGGTTATAGTTACCATAGATCCGACCTTCGTTCCCTTGACCTTGGCGCCAATTATCCTGATTTGAGCCTTGGGCGCTCAGTCGGAAACCCCCCGTCTGATCATTAACTGCATAGGAATCCTCCGCATAATAACATTCATCATTAGGAGGTGGTGGTTTAGGCAAGTAGTAAACTGCATTTATCTTTTTTGCACCCCTGTGATATGTTTTAGTACCAACCCAAGCTCAGTTCTCATCGGAGTCGTTTCTTCACGAATCTCATCTGTGGCTGGGTTGTGAGTGGACTGTCTGTGAAGGTATGTCTCCCGGTATCTGACTTCCTACTACTCCAAGCTTTATTATTCTGGGAGATTTTCACTAATTTTTCAGCAATCTCAGCATAAGGGCACTCCCCATAAGATCCACCTGCTAAAGTTCCCAATATTGGTTTATTATTATCATCATGTCCTCGATAGAACTATTCCTTCAGTGACTCGTCATCTATACGTTGATTTGGGACACTTCTTAAGAACGAAGTGAATCTATCCCAAGAACTACTAACTGAATCTCCTGGTAGGGCCACAAAGTTGTTCACTCTAACTTTGTGGTTTAGTTTCTTGGAGACCGGATAGTAGCGTGCTAAGAACACATCCCTTAGTTGGTTCCAAGTGAAAATTGAGTTATAAGGGAGCTCAGTGAACCATATAGCAGCCTCTCCCGTCAGTGAGAGAGGAAACACTCTAAGCCCTATTACATTCAAGTCCAAGTCAGGCCACTCTACACAACTTTTACACACTGCCCTTACCTTTGCTATATGGGCGTGTGGATCCTCAGAAGTTAGCCCTAAAAACAAACCTCTGGCAGTGAGCATTTGCATCAGGCTACTAGTTACCACAAAAGTATGTCCTGGTGGTAAAGGAGGCAAGACAAGTGGCCCATCAAAGTCTGCTATGTTGTCATACCCTCAGTAGTATGCTTGGGGCCGTGGAGCGGGATTTTGTCCCCTCTGTTGGTGTTCAACCAGAGCATCGGGTAATAACTGACCATGAACATCAACCGGAGCTGGGATGTTCTGGTTTGGATCATCATCATTGATTCCCAAGTTTTGATTCATGTTGTGTCGTATACGCTCTAATTCGTGATCGTAGGGAAACAAGGGTTCTCTTCCTCTTCGTGTATTTGGCATACAAGGAGGTAGGTTCTGCACAAATCAAAATCAATAAAACAAAGTAAAATCAAGAAAATATCAACTAAACTATAGTAATAAGTTTAAGATAATCTAAAAGCTATAATCCCCGGCAGCGGCGCCAAAATTTGATACGCTCAAATTTACTTCTCAAATAAGAGGTAAAGCGGTCGTGTCAAGTAAATAACCCAACTAGTGAGGTTGGGATCGTTTCCACAATGAAAATATTTTAGACTTAACTTCAATCTTCTATTACTATTGTTCAGTCAATTACTTCCTTGGAAAGCAAAAACAATAAAAGGGGGATTTCTATTTCTAAAAAAATGAAAATAACTAGCGAAATTAATAGAGACACTTAACAGCTTCGTATGTTGGAGTTTAATCAATTAATCAAAGTAACTAGGGTTTACATGTTCCCCACAAGTTCATAACTTGATAAGTCTAATTATAACAATTCTTTCCTAGTATCTTGCATGCAAAGTGATAAGTTAGGTATTTCTAAATCCTTGGTTCGGCATCTAGAAAATTTCACTTTGCACCTTGGTACGGCTATGTGTGTTGTTATCCTAACCCTTATCTTTACCTCATATTAAGCGTCGTATTCGATATTTGACTAAGTTATTACCTCGTACCAATCAATACTAGCCTATTAGATAGTATTCACTAAATCTATGTTAATAATTATTTTCCTATTATCTACCTCCTTGGTCCGGTAAGTAGCATTAAGGCGAGTTCTAATGTTGTCCATTCGTTAAAAAGACTTCTAGGCAAAAGAATTATTAATACATGCAAGACACTATTCTAGAGTTGTTATTTTAGTTAGGTTTTACGTCATTATTTGCCTATGGTTCCCACAACCCTAGTTATGGAGTTTAGTTACCCATAGTCATAATAGATGGATTTGTCATCTAATAACAATGGATTTGTTAAAGGCTATACTAGATGGATCAATCACGGGGAATGAGATTTCAATTTTAATGTTGATGATGATATGGATTGCTCGCATGATGATATAGATGGGTTGTTGAATGATTAATTTAGAGATGTTGCACAGACTGAAGGAGTTTATGATGGTCCAAATGAAGATGCCAAGAAATTCTATAACTTAGTTGAAGAGGCAAGCCAAGAATTATATCCTTGTTGTACTACAAGATTCTCTAAATTATCATTCACACTTCATTTATACTTGCTGAAGTGTCTACATGGATGGAGCAATGAATCATTCACTTCTCTTTTAGAGTTATTAAAAGAGGCAATTTCCTAGTTGAATATTCCTTCTTCTTACGACAAAACAAAATATATGGTTAAGAATCTTGGTCTTGATTATGAGAAAATTGATGCATGTCCCAATGATTGCATGTTGTTCAGGAATGATCATAAAGATGATGAATTTTGTCATACTTGTGGAGCTTCACGATATATTAAATCTCCTGAAGTTAATAGTAAACTTGAGCCTTCAAAAAAAACAACATCGAGTTTTAGCAAAGAATTTGAGACACTCTCCATTAATTCATAGACTCAAAAGGTTATTTATTTGCTCAAAGACGGCATATTCTTTGAGGTGGCATAAGGAGGAGCGTTCAGAAGATGAAAAGTTAAGGCATCCTGCTGATGGTCTAGCATGGAAAGATTTTGATAGGTTGCATCCAGATTTTACACTAGATTGTCGCGATGTGAGACTTGGTTTGTCAAGTGATGGGTTCAATCCATTTCGAACCATGAGTATATCACATAGCACATGGCCAGTTATGTTGATGGTGTATAATTTGTGGTCTTGGATGTGCATGAAATCTGAATATTCTATACTTTTTTTACTTAAACCTGGGCCGCAATCACCTGGTAAATGACATTGATATTTACTTACAACCATTGATACATGAGTTAAAATAATTGTGGGATTTTGGGGTTGAAACATATGATGCTTCAAGAAATCAAACTTTTCAAATGCGAGCAACTCTTATATGGACTATCAGTGATTTTTCTGCATATGCTATGTTATCTTCATAGGCTGAACTTCAAAATCGTCAAAATTCTGGAAAAACAGCTGATGATGCCTTCAAGGCAGTGTTTTGAAAGGAGAAGCCTGGACGACTTAGGTGCTATGGCAGATCAACAAGTTCTCTGAAAAAAGATGAGAAAATTAACAAGATAAAATAAAAAGCATGCTAATGAATCAGTTCTCTGAAGGAAGAAATGAATGAAATGAGAGATGAAATGCTATATTTTTTTAGTCAATTGCTGCAAAACAACTCTGGATTGAATGTTCAAGATATACCAAGGGTTGTTGGATCTAACCTTGTTTCACCGGTTGATGAAAGTAGCGCACAACCTCTAAGAGGCCGAAATATTCAAAATTCTTAAGGGTCAACTCATGATCCAATTCTTCAAAAGGTATTTTTTTGGTTCTTAACTCTTTTCTCTCTCTCTCTCTCTCTCTTTCTCTCTCTCTCTCTCTCTCTTTTATAGTGACAGAAATTCTAGAAATTATTGATAACACAACTTTGTCCCATCTTGTACTTCTACTAGAAAAAGTTTCACAATTTTACGTGGTCCTGAACTTTGACATGGAAAATGGTAAGGCGTTTGTGGAGAACTATAAGAAGGACAAGTTTGAGTATATCCAAATATGTTTCTTTACTATATGTTTCTTGTCATTTATTAGAATGGCTCTACTTGATAAATCTTACATAGAGCTCTGTATTGCTTGACTTACTCTGGAATGCTAGTATTTCGACCTCTTGCACTGGATAGTATCACAATTTACTAGATTGATGTCAATACTCTAAATTTTCCTGTAACTGACCAGTATCTGCACTTTGCATTTGGCTGTGATTTTTCAGAAAATTCGGGCTGGTTGTCTTGAAGTAGTGGTAGCAGAGGCTCTAAGGTCATGCCTATGGTTAGTGTGATCAATCCCATGTTAAGCATGAGTCAAGTGCCCCCCTTTGGTAACCCCTTCCTGCAAGATAGTGGTTTTCTCCTGACATCCCCCATTCATACCTCCATGAACTTCATCAGTAAGACCAACATCAACATCAATAACATGGAGGTGATGGGGTATTGAGAGAATTGAGTCAATACCTATGATCTTGTTATTTTAGTTGGTTTTGACTTGTACCTTTTGCATAGTAATTTATTTTGAGTGTCTGATAGAGATGACTCACTTTTTTTCTCTTGAAATATTTGGGTTCCATGATCTGTTGCAATTCTACTGGTGCCCTCCATAGCAGTATCCTTGACTGGATGTTCCTGCATATCTAGGTTAGTAAAAATATTATGTGTGTGAATTGTAGATAACATACCTGGTAGTGCTGGTGCCTGTTGCATATTATCATTTCAATACTTCTGCTGGGGTGAGAAAGGTCTCCATATGGTCTTAGCATGATGTTGTTCTTGGCGTCTCGTTTGCTTCCTTTTTTAGGTCTGCCAGTGATCTTCGTGGTCAGCTGTTTTTAGGTCCCAGTTGGTCTGTCCTACATGTTTGTAGGTCATTGTTGATCTATTATGTTATTTTTCTATGTGTTTTGTGACTCTCTGTTTTTTCATCCATTGAGTCATATAGTGCACAATTCTTGTTGTTTCATCTAAGAGTTGGATTACCATCGTCTTATACACCATGGTGTTTTGAAATGCTAAAGGTAGAAGTCTGGGAACGTAAATCCAGAGAGTAAGTATTGGTGTTGTATAATTATCATTTTTGTTCTTTTGAAATGTTGAAGCCCCAAACTCTGAGAAAATAAGTATTCGTGTTGTTTAATTGTCAGCTTTGCTCTTCTAAAATGGTACGAATCTATAAAGTGAATTATAGGTATTGACGACTTAGTTCTTCTTATAGTGAATTATTAATGTTTTCTTAAAGTTAACTAATACAAACTTTTGCAATCTAATTTTTTGGTTTGTTTTGATTATTCATTATATTTCATTTTAAATGTTTAAAGGGGAATATAGGTGCTCAAATTTGAAGGATCCCCACAAGATAATTTGATCTCATTGAAGTTAAAGTGGATGATCAATGAATAGTTTTTGAACTATTGTAAATGTTTGTATACTTTTTGAACTATTCACGTGCACACATATATTTAGAAAATTGTTTTATAAGTATATGTATGTACACAAGACTATCTTTTGAAGTTTATTGCAAATTTATATATTTGAACTACTTATTAGCTATTTGATGCTTGAGATAATTTATTGCAAAACAATATTGGTGTTTCTAATTAGAAATTGTGGCATATAAATATTTTATAGCTTACCGAACTTAGAAGTGTAGCCATAGAACTATATATTGTGGTATGCATATAGAAAATGCAACACTTTCAAATTGTGGGCAATATGGAAGAAAAGGCCACACTTGAAAGTGTAGCTAGTAAGGCGAAACTTTTAAGCGTAGCTTAAGAGGTAACACTTCTAATCGTAGTAGCAAAAGTGTAGCCTTTTAACCTTTTCAGCTATGCTTTTAGACTATGTTTGGATCATCGTTATTCATTGTATTGTATTGTATCGTTACTATACTTACAATGTTTCTTTTGATTGTTACTTATAATGTATTGTTAAATTTCATTGTTACGTAACAATGAAAACCCCTATTTTATGGAACAATAAATTTGGTGTGTTCCCATTATTACTTTATTTCTTTTTCCAATTATATCTTTACATAATATTTTAAAATACTGTTTCACCCTTTACCTTAATTATTTAAACTCAATCAAACCTCCTACCCTAGAATAATTAAGGATATTTAATTAAATTTATAAATTACAATATAGTACGATACAATCAAATCAAACAATTAAAATGTTACGAAACAACAAACAAACAATACAATCTAACCAAATATTGTATCTATCATAAAATAGAGTACAATACAATAAAATACATTATGACACAATGGATAACAATGGTCCAAACAAAGTGTTAAGTGTATTTGATCAGTCACCACTTCTAAGCGTAGCTGGAAAAGTGTAGCCCTTTTTACCTTTTAGGCTACGCTTTTAAGTGTAGCTTGGCAGACAACACTTCTAAGTGTAGTTGAAAAAGCGTGGCCTTTTTATATTTTAGGCTACGCTTTTAACTGTAGCTGATAAGGCAACACGTGAAAAGTGTTGCCTAAACTCTAAGGTAATACTTCTTTTGGACACTCCCGGAAAAGCGTGCCCTAAAGTCAAAGTGTGGCCTTTTATAAACGGACACAAGTTTGCATAGTTTAGGCGACACTTTTCTTGGGTGGTTACAGGCCTAAAATGTTGTAGTGGTTGATTTTAGTAATATTATTATTATGATGTGGAAAATTTATCTGCTGAAATTAGAATCCCACCTTAACCCCTTTATTAAACCTAACCCATGACCTAATCGCGCACCAAATTAAAACATCCGACCTTTTAGCAAGTAACACTATTTTAGAATTTTCAGTTTATAATCAATACAAATACAAATACAAAAGCTTATTGTTGAAAGTTTAATCTAACATTGTTTCATTTTAATTTGTGTCTAACCAAATACTGATATTAATGAAAATTGAATTTTGTTAGATTGGTCGATCAGATCATGATAGAAATTTTTGTGACAAATAAATCAAAGTTGACAGTTATCTTTATTATTTATGGTAATTGAATATTGAAATTTATTTATAATTAATACTCACTAGATGATATTGTTCCCAAACCACGGTCAATTGTTGCAGGATAAATATAATCAGATTTGTAATTTAAAGAAATGTACTTTGTTTCAGATGAATGGTAGGTACACGAATTTAGGAAACACTATATAAATAATTTTATGCAAATAGAAATTTTGGAGTAATAGATTTTTCTTTTTTTCTTTGAAATCTGTCCATGAAGAACTGAAATGGCTCTTCCTCAGAAATGAAATTAGTATTTTTTTGGTTTTCAGAATGAAAGGGGTGGGTGTTTTAGTTTTAATTTGATGCATGATTGGGTTATGAGGTGGATTAAACAAAGAAGTAAAGGTGGGATTCTAAATTCAGCAAATAAAAATATACAACATCATTATAACAACAATTATAAAATTAATTAACTAAAATTCTGTTAGTTTGAAGGGTAAGAGTGGGCCAAAAAGGTGGATTGAGGGATATTTTTAACTAAATAGGTTGATGAAGGGTATATTTAAACCTTTTCTTAAAGTATAAGGATATTTTTGGCTCTTTTCAGTTAAAATAGATACAAAGTAGACCAACTTTCACATATAGCAAACACAAAATGTATATTTGTATGTTATAGCAAAGTTTGTATAATTGCGCTCCATAGCAAACATGTTATGACTAGGCTATTTTGTTGCACTTATATACAAAAAAAAAACAATTGTATAATTTGTTGGCTCCTTTTTAAGATTTGTATAATTTCACTGACATACAATTTTTTTATAAATGAATGCCCGTCTCTCATTTGTATAAATCGTTGGCATCCTCTCAATTTGATTTCATGTGTTTGTATATCTGTATAAAATTTAAATTTATATACGATTGAATGAAAATTAAACGTTTGTATATTAAATATCGATCTCTCTCCCCCTTTATACAAACATAAATTATACATTGTATTTTGTATGAAGCGAGAAAAAGAGAAAGGCAAACGAGATGGCAGGGGAATATTTTATTGTATAATTATAAGTGTGTATGACGAATATATATGTATTTGCATGTGTATATATATAATTTTTTCTCGCTTTATACAAATAGAAGCACAATTTATGCATTTCTAATTGTATAAAGCGAGAAAGGCAGCGACAGAGGGAGGGTGACGAGCGAGAGTTTGGGGGAGAGAGGCTACTAGCAAACAGTTTGCTACAAGACACAATTAAATTAAAGTATGGTTATACCATTTAATTTGAATCAATAGTTTGTCATTATATACAATTTTACTTACAAAGTATATAACCCAAAAGGTTTTTGAGAAAATCCAAATAAAATAATAAATTTATTACATAGTTCACATGTCTTGGATTATTTTTAAAAAAAAAATTGCTATCTGTTATACAAGTACAATTTAATTACCTAGAGTAAATAGGAATGAACATCACATTACATGACATCAAAAATATTTTTAAATGACAAAATATCTTGCTAAAAGAAGCAACCCACGTTATTTTTTCTTAAAATCTCAAGGCTTCCATAGTACCATATTAAATACATGTGTACATGTTTCCTTATTTTAAAAGGATATTGTATTTAATTTTTTCTTCTTCGACCTTTTCCAATAAAAAAACAAAAAACTCAACCCCAAAAAAATATAGTACTCCTTTTCAACTTAACAACTCTAATCTTAGTCAACTTTTCGTCTTATATTTAGAAAAAAAACTCAAAAAATGAAGACAAAAAAGATGCGTCATCGTAAAAGAACAACGACAGAGAAAAAAAATATGCTCTATCCAAAGCCAAAAAAAAAAATGACCGCCTTCTGTAATTCCACAACAACAAAAAAAAAACAAGCACTTCAGGTTGACGAATTGAAGGTATGTTCTTAGATTTGCTTCGTTATTTCTTCTTTCAAATGAGTTCAAATGTGACATTGTTTCATAAAAGATATAATGATCTTCAACAAGATTTTTTATAACGCACAATCGGTACAAAATTTCAAGGAATACTACATAGTCATTGAGCAATTAATGATGGTTCTGATGTCAATGAAAGATTTAAAAAATATTTTGTATAAGATTTGTATACTTTTTGTTGATTGCAAAAGAATGAATTTCACGAATTGAATGACTTGCTATTGATCCTTCTTTATATCACTAAAAATAAAGATTGTACTCCACAAACTAAATACCCCTTTTCTTTAGCGTCTGAGAAGAAGATGTTACCTTTGTCGAATTCTGTTCTTTTTCTTTTCATTCCATCTTTCTAAGAGCGTAAAACTTATATTTTTAAAAAGGATTTGTTACGTTGTTAGGTTGTGGAGCTTGATTAATATTTGATGTACTATCATATTTGGATTCGAGAAATTTGATGGATTCGATTTCAGTTTCTGGAAGATGCAGATCGAAGATTTTTTGTATCAGAAATATCTTCACGAACCGTTGACCGGGGTGAAGCCGGAATCCATAAAGGAGGAGAAGTGGAAGCTCAAGGATCGCCAAGCTCTAGGGTTGATCTAGTTGACTATGTCAAGAAATGTTGCGTTCCACATCGTGAAGGAGAATACTACGTCCGGTCTGTTGAAGGCACTGTCAAACATGTATGAAAAACCATCGGCGACGAACAAGGTATATTTGATGCGTAGATTGTTCAATTTACAGATGTCTAAGAATTGATCTGTTTCTGATCATATAAACGAGTTCAATATGATTGTGATTCAACTCAATTCTATGGATATTAATTTCAAAGATGAAATTAAGGTGTTGATTTCTTGGGATACTGTTGTTGCTGCAATTAGCAGTTCCCGAGGATCTGATAAACTGAAGTTTGATGAAATTCGTGATGTCGTTCTTAGCGAAAGTATTCGCAAACGAGAAATGGGAGATTCATGAGGCAGTGCTCTCAGCATTGACCGAAGGGGGAGAAGACGAAAGGACAAAATCAACATGGGTGATCAAAATCAAAGAATCGAGGAAAATCTCCAAACAGATCAAACGTGACTTGTTGGAACTATGGAGAAAAAGGGCACTTTCGGACGAACTGTACAAAGCCAAAGATGAAACAAAATCAGAAATCTGGGGATGAGATAATTCTGTAAATTCATTAGAGGACATTGGGGATGCTCTAATCCTTAGTGTAAACAGCTTGGTTGAATCATGGATTTTGGATTCTGG